CATTCATCTGCCACATTCATTTGCATTTTGAGTGCCACGTCTACATCTTCACATCCAATGAACAACCGACTCGTAGAACCAAGTACCCGCCCTTTTTTCTTTTCTGATAATCTGTTTATTTTAGGTGTGCGTAGAAGACATGATCTGTCTCTACTTCAGTACGGGGACTTTTGTGAACACTTATGAGACTGGGATGAATCACTGGATAATTTTCTTGAAACAACCTGTCTGAACTGACTTCCCAAGATTTCTTAAGAGCGAGGACATGCAACCATTATGTTCGCTCGGTTACATGTGTACAGTAAAAAATAGTAACGTAACATTATCAAACTACACTCCTAATACGTAAAGCAAAGATGTAAAAAAAGAAACACACACACACACACACACAAACATGTTAGCATGAATATTTGTATTTGTTTATTATTAAATAACAAGACTTGGCATTTAGTCATGTTTCCTCCAGAGCTTAATTTGTGTCACACTGCTATATCATATCATGATAACCCTGTTGCAGGTTGGTTAAGACCCATTTTCTCATAACTGTATTAGTTGGGTCGAGCTCTAGGTCAGGTAACCACAGCACGCCATGTGGTTTGAGCACCAGAAGGTTTGTCCAGCTACATTTCTGCAAATTTCATGTAAAGGGAGGAGCCTGACGGAAACATCTCAATCTACATACAGTCTATATTCACGGATAAATGAGTGAAATTCTTCTATTTCGCATTGTATTTCAACATCATATTATCAGCATTACAATATAACTGAAAAGTTGGTTTGAAATATGAACATCATTTATGAATTGTATAATTTTTTAGTATTGGAGGAAAGTTACTTTAATGTGTGTGTGTGTGTGTGTGTGTGTGTGTGTGTGTGTGTATATACAGTATATATATATATATATATATATATATATATATATATAGGAGTCAGTATTGAGTCTTATTTTTTAAGGTAAGTCTTATCTTATGCTTTCTAAGTGGCATTTATTTAAATAAATGTACAGTAAAAACAGTAATATTGTTACTTGTAATTTATTCCTGTGATGTCAAAGCTTAATTTTCAGCATCATTACTCCAGTCTTAAGTGTCACATGATCCTTCAGAAATCATTATAAAATGCTGATTTACTGCTCAAGAAACATTTCTTATTAATATCAATGTTGAAAACAGTTGCTGCTTATTATTTTTGTGGAAACTGATACATTTTTTCAGCATTCTTTGATGAATAGAAAGTTCAAAAGAGCAGCAGAAATATATATTTACACAATTCTTGCTCAATCATAGTGCTATGTCATTCGTATCTTATTGTTTCAGATAACTGTAAGTATCTGAAAGTGATAAAACCACGATGAGGTCAACACCCTAAAACATAATCTATATTCTTTGTACAAAAGAGAAACAGAAGAGAGTAAAACATAAAGAAAATTATCAAAAATCTGCAATTATCTAAAAAGAAGAGCTGACGAACAAAAAATGAACTGATATTAGATGAAGTGATAGTGTGAGTGAAAGAATGACGCTGAATGAAAGTACACAAGACAGTGATGCTTCAGAAAGTTGGACAAAATAGTACTTACAGGGTTTTCTTTGGATGTGAACAGATGGTAGATGAAACAGGCCTCCACGGCCATGCCACACAGAGCCACACAAACCAGGATCACCAGTAGAGTCTGGATCACCTCCTTCCGCTGTCTACGGCCTGGCTTGGGGGGCAACAGAGGGGGCCTCATTTTGCTGTCCACCACGAATACTGAAGGATACGAAACTTTACCCGGAGCCATGTGCACACACACCGTCTCTGGCCACTTCAGAGATGACAACTGCACATCCAGAGAAGTGTGAAAAGACCCACTGCAATGCAGTGAGAGTGAGACCCACTGTGAGAGTGAGAGATAACCATCACTCATAAAGCCCACAGGTGGGCGGACGGTGCGAGAAAAGCACGCTCCAGTGTGGCCGAGAGAAAAAAAATAAGTCAGACCACTCTCAAAATCTCCTGTAATACTATTTCAAGTGACAGGTAAAGTAAAATCAGCAAGTCTGAGAAATGTGGGATGGAATAAGTGCAGCATTTAAATCTAATTTTCTAGTTTTCAAAATGAGAAAAAAAAACATCAATAATAAAAGTCAGATCTTTTGTCTTTCAGAACGTGACATATTCCGTTTATCTACATAAATGGGAATCAGAAAAGACGTGGCACACACAAATGCCTACACAAGCAGACAAACGTATATCCATGGCCATGCAACAGGTCCACCTCTTCACACCTTCCTATCTCCTCTGCATCAGCTCTCAGCCACAGCTTCCCCTACTCGACACAACACACACTTGTTGAAGTAATTTTGGCTGTAATAAAGTTTTAAGTAACTTTGCTGTAGGAAAAAGACAGGAAGTTCATTTTGGATTTTTTTGTTTTAGTAGTGTGCACATGAGAGCAAGAGGGGAACAAGCTCTTTATATTTAGACCAGTAACCACTATTAGCTTGTGACACATGAAACCGACATCAAAGACCTAGTGGCGACAAAAGCTGACAGTGACTAGGCCAAAAAGTTGCACTTGAACACACCTCAAAGACTACTTCCAAAGGTCCAATAGCATATGCGTTCTGCGCCTGTGTGAGAGGAACTAACTCTCCACACCAGAAGGTGGCTGTAGTCTGTTTTTGTCATTGAAAAAGAGAAAGCTAAACTAGACCTGTGATCCATTCGGAAGGGCACATCCCTATGCCCTAATCCCTTCAAAGGGTTTACCCTCCGGAGTGAGAGCTTCGAAGGGTTGAAGGGTGTAGGGGACCAAACAACTGTTTCTTGAAGTGCCCTTCTGCATCATCATCTTCTGCCCACACGAAGGCGCCGTCATCATGCAAAGAATCTGCGCAAAGGATCATGGGAGCCCGAAGTGTCCCTCAGTTGTACCCTTCGAAATCCTTCATTCCGAAGGGCCCTTTGAAGTGGCCAGTTTTGAGCACTTTGGTTTGGAACGACCCTTCAATATGGCGGCCATGATTGTTTTCACTCCGAAGTGCCCTTCGGAGGGCGATATATCCCGTTTGGAACGCACCGCAAGACTGCAGCTTCACAATCCGTAAACATCATCACTTCCTTACCATTTTAAATGGTTTTTAGTTTCTTCATTCCAAATGTCCATGTCATTTTTAAAATGTTTGCATGTTGTAATGCTCGGGTGAGAGATGAATATGTAACATTAAAAAATCATTATATGTGTGCACATTTGACTTCATTGTTTGCTTGTTTTAGTCGCTTTAGGGGCTTTTTATTCATATTTCCTATAAATATTGGCGGAAGTACCCACTTTTTGGTGTGTTTGCACTGCAGGAAGTTGATTGGCTGAATGCATGCCATACAAAACACTGGTATCCGCCATTTTTAAAAAGCTGTGTAAACACAAGGATACTTACTCCACAAACGAACTCTATGAACACAAACTAACTCTATGAAGGCATTTCTGTCTTACATCCTCCAGCTGTTGATGTTGTTGAATGTCACGCTTAAATGACGTCATGCTGAAATGGCCAAAAAGCGACTGATGATGTCAACTGCTGATAGTGCAGAATACACCACAAAATCTGAGTTGACAGATGTTAAACGATGGCCGACTTTGGCCGATCATCAGTTCGATGTGTCAAGGCATTGATAAACCACATACTATTTACGGGCGTTTCTTCAACTAGGGGCACTTTTATCCTTGTGAAGTTGAATAAAAAAAACTTGTTCAAAAGTCACGTAACACAGTCTCATAAGTTTAAATAATTTGTCTAGTTTTAACCATGTCCAACATGTGCTCTGATGTCACTGAACATTTCCATAGAAACCACCTAAACAATCTTTCACACAAACTTTTTAAAGGGACATTACAGTGTTGTGGTGGAAATGACACCAATATTGTGCGACAGCTATATTTTGTATAGAAAGTAATATTGATCGTGGTCTCACATTAAATACTATTATGTATTTTAATTATTTTACTAGTGCTTAATTCAGGTACATTAATAGTTACCAGATAAGTCATATTTTTAAACTGTATTTTCATTGTTGAAGTTTAAAAGTCTGGGTGTGCGACAAGGAGAAAACAGTGATTTTGACACCTATAAGGAGGTTGAAAAGTATGAAAAAATCATAATAGAAAGGTAGTAAAAAGTTTTTAAGGTGGTTTTATTGTTAGTTTGACTAAGAAAGAGGAATTTGTCCAAAATTATATGTATTTTTATAAATATGACCAAAGAACATAAAAGTGCCCATAGTCTAAGAATCACCCTTACACACACTCATCTAGCTGTCAAAAAGGGTCTTACCATGGACTTCTGTTTAGAGACACGTAGATTATGTATATTTAAATAAAAGTTAACCCTTAAATAATTACAATTTGAATATCAGCGTGCTTGACATGAAATTTAATCTGATCATCATAACGTGACAGTGTCTCTTTATAAAAAAACAATTTTGTCTGCATGGCCTTTCAAAGGATGGACAAAAAATATGAGAGAATATTAAAAATATCTTCATTTGTGTTACATTAAGTCCAGCATTGTAATTCTTTGACAAACTTGACAATTCGCTCCAAAGCAAAGCATGCATAGCCTAAATATCATGATTTGTGTAAACATCAAAATCAGTTATTGGAAGTGAGTGTTGATAGAAGGAACTAAAGAAAAAAATTGCAACAATATTTAATTGTAGCCTCCTCTTGAAAAGTAGTTTTAGGTTTGTAGTTTTATGAATATAAACTAATATTCTGAGAACATTGCAGAGATGTTCTGTGTGACAACCACATATCCATACAGTTCTGATGGTTTTAAATTGGTTCTAACATGGTTACACTGCATTTATTCTATTTTTTCCCTAATGATCGTATTCCCAGAACGTTGCAGAAAGGTTTTCGTCATTAACATTAGTGTAGCATGACGACTTGAGATCACAACGTAGCCCCTTTGCAATTTACAGCCAAAATGTACAAAAAAACAAAACAAAAAAAAAAGCCATGAGCTCCCTCACACGATTTGGCCAGATTTAGCTCCTGCTTCAAGCTTCTCATAGAGTTCGATACAGATAGACAAACGTGTTTTATGACAGAAACACGGAATAAAAACATTATCTCCGGCGCGCGTTGAATAATCTTGAGGTCGGAACCCAGGGGACAAATCAGCGAGGCTGTTTGCGCGTTTTACGCGACGCGGGTAAACTACAACGCGTCCATTTTCAACGAAGCTATCAAACTTCAAGCACGTCTGTTCTGTTTGTCACTGCAAGTTCACGAAAGTCCAAACCATGCTGTTGCAGTGTAGTAGAAGGCAATGATAGGCTCCTAGTGTGGTCGCGCCGCTCGTAGTGCAACAGCTGCTCTAGTGTGTTTATGAAGAGCAAAGTAATGGAGCGGTTTAAAGAGACGCGTCTCGTATGTTTGCTGCTCTTTCTGACGCTCCGCGTGGATTTGGGATTCGAGTTCGGACAGAATAAGGACACCGAGTTCACTTTCCTTCTACCTGCCGCAGCAACCGAGTGCTTCTTCCAAACAACCACTCAGAACGGCAGCATGGAAGTGGAGTACCAGGTCAATAAATTTGTTAAAGTATTTCAGTTATTTAATTAAAAATATTTAAAACGATAACCTTTTTGAAATGTCTCGAGAGGCCACACTAGTCAGCAAATTTGAGAAGTAGAAGTTACTAGAAGTTTATCATAGTTTTTGTTTAAATATCATTTATTCGTAAGATTCTTAGTAACTACTGCATTACATTGCAGTTTTGCTTGACAGTAATGATCAGGAAGTAGCAGGACATTTCCTTTCATGGGTGCATGTTTTGGTCAAAGTGCATTTATGAATGGCTGTACTTATGAAGTCATAAGGTAGACTTCAGTCTCCCGTGATCACATATAACATGAACAGCTTGTGCTTGGTTTGGTTTTATGGTTGTGGCTCTTCTCTACAGCTCTGGTGGGACGTTCAGTATTATTGAATGTCAATTGCATAGGCCTACTAAGGACTTGAGCAATCCTCATTCAGTCCTGTTTACTGTAGATATCACTCACAGGAGCTACTGTCTTTTAGTTATTCTAGTCCAGCCCTGTGTTGTGACCTTTCTCAGAAGATTCACTCTGCCGCATGTCTGGGGTGTTTGTGGAGCCATCCCGCTTTACGTTAAAAACAGGCACTGCTGCGGGACAGCTGACTGTTCTGTCGATTTGTGCTACCCTGTCAGATTTTGCTACCTCCCATTAAAACAGTGGGTAGTACAATTCGACAACGAAAAATGCTACCTGTAAAAGTATGGTTTATTAACGTCTACACCTACCCCAACCCTAAACCTACCCTTAGAGTAATGCAAATACAGTAATTTATGTATATTCGCGGTTGTGGCGAGAAGGGATACTACAGCTACAGGAAACCAACAATAAATAATTTTTTTTACCTATTAGATTGTGTTTTATTAAAGTCTACACCTACCCCAACCCTAAACCTACCCTTACAGTAATGCAGATACATTAAATATTGTTGTTCAGCGTGAGAAAAAGGACGCAATATTGATGTGCACATGCGTAGTAAACCCTGGTAGGACAATCTGACGAGTAGGATAAAATGTCAGGACACCTGGCCCAAAGCTCATTCCATCTGCCAGAAGGATCACGCTGTCTCAAGTGCTGCATGGTTACTGTTTGCCACACTTTATCTCTAGTAACAGCACACTGACTCATCAATGGGCTGCTTTATCAGTCGGTGGAAGATAGGAGGCCTCTAATTTGAATTTGGGAAAAAGGGACACGTGGTAGAGAGAGTCATATGGCAGGTGTTGAAGTCTTTAGTAGTTTGCAGAGAAATGTTGATGTGACATATATATTTATTTATTTATTAATTTTTTCTCCTCATTGATTATCCTGTTGCACTCAGGTACACGTCGTCATGTTACAGAAATAAAATGGGTTGTCAATGTCGTTTCATTTATCAATCACCCTGCCATTAACCCATCTGTGTATCTGCAGGTCATTGCAGGCTCAGGGCTGGACATCGGCTTCACGCTGATCTCCCCGCGTGGGTACAGACTGGTCTCCGACTTCAGAAAATCAGACGGCATACACACGTAAGCTTCACATCCCATAGTGCACATAGCCGAACCTTTACACATTTACTCATAGTTTCGGACTGTCATAACCCACAGTATTTGCATGTCCTCTGTTGCAAAATTGCATGCTTCCTGCAGGGCTGACAGTGACCACAACTGAATTACAGAAAACAGTTGCCTGTTTACAGAATGTTACTAGGTAGTCAACTGAAAAGTAATGCTTTTTAAAGCATACTTAAAGGGTTAGTCCACTCAAAAATGTAAGTTCTGTTATTATTTACTCTGTCATTCCAAACCGGTTTGTATGGAAGCTTATTTTCATCACAAAATAAAGATATTAAAAAGGTAATTGTGACTTTTTTTTAAAGGGGTCATATGATGCGATTTCAAGTTTTCCTTTCTCTTTGGAGGTTGTATTTACAACACTGTTCCAGAACAGTTCAACCCAAATATTCAGATGTGTGCTGCGCATTTTATGGAGGATGGATGAGGACTGTTTCCTGCACCAGTAGCCTAATGCGTCTGTGGCACAAAGGCTGTTTCTATAAAGTTGGGCAGTTCCAACTTCGCAAGGACAGTCTGGCGCTTCTGACTCACAGCCTCTAAGTTAGTTTTTTATATTTAAATAATTTGCCAATGATGATTCAAAGCAATGATGTTTGTTGTTTCTGCGATCACAAATGCAGACATGGTTTTATGTTTACGCAGCGCGATACGCAACGCAATGCGTAAAAAGACAGTATAAGTCATTATAATCAGTAATTATGTCCCCACTAGAT